GATTAATGATAAAAAAAAGTACTGTTTCGAATTTATGCGAATTACAGATACATAAATATGTTTCAAGATTCATTCCATTGAACAATGTGGCAATTGTTATGTTCGGTTTGTTAGGCAAGTACATGACAAATATTGGAAAATAACAAAAAAAAATTTCTATCTTTATTATTATTTCTTCTACATAATAACCCATATAATTTTTCCCCATAATTATGCTCATTTAGATAATGATGTATAGTCATATTCATCAGATAATTGTATCTATAGAACCATTCAATGATATATTGGTGTGTTAATTCAGAACATGTATGGATTATCCGTTTTTCCATTAGAATTGTTGGTGCAGTTCGAGAGAATTGAATATTGTACGAAGTCATAATGGAAAACATGCAGCGCCACCATTTCGATGATATAGCAATCTTAAATTACACTTGGTCGGTAAGCCATGGCGGTAATTTCCTCGATACCGACGCTGTTTGACCGACCGTACTGGTCGTGTAGAGAGCCATTCTGTGTAGGCTTGTGCCGTGTAGACTTGTCTCGTGTAGGGTCGTGCAACCAAGTTTATCCCCACCGTGTAGACTTGCGAGCGGTGTAGTGCTGTGATAGTACGAACGACGCTCCCTCCGTGTATCACGTTTCCTCTGTCAAGGGACTCAGCCCCTCAGCTTTCGACACAATGGACAAAGGAGACCTCACACGTGTTGAAACAAAAACTTGAGCAAAAACAGAACTGGGACTTTATGACTTAGACCGTATTGACTTGGAGATTTATAATTTCCTTCTCGAGTTTCGGGTTTGGAGAAAATATTTATCCAACAAATTTTAAGGGTAATAAAAATGGGAAGTTAAACTTAAGCGCTCGTGACCGCAACCCCATTGCGCCATGACACTTCTGGTGGACGCCATGACAGTACTCTGCTTTTTTCAATAGGATAGGATATAGGATAGTTATATAGAGATAAGTGGGTCTACGTCAACTAGCAACTCTTGATTCTACGCATGTTCAACTTTTCGAATGTGCAGAGAAAAAAGCTGGAATTGTGTAATTGAGTCTTGCAGCATATTCGGATCTAAAAAACTAAACTCTTCTATAGAATGAGCGTACTTCTTCAATCGTGTCTCACCGATGATTCTTTGTGGTATATGATATCCAGAATTATCGTAATGTCAGAAAGTTATATAGCAGATAAGTTCACTGATCATCGTTTTGGACATTTTTATTTTCACCATATTTATGACATTTCATGAACGTTTTCTCTTTTGTTTATACTCTAGAAGTACAGAACTATGAGAATGCAGAAGATCATTATGAAAAAACCTCCATTAACAAAGTTTGGTGTCTTCGAAGGGAATACATTCCACGAGATCCAATCAGCATTTTTCACAATTTAAATGATTCCATTATTGATATTGAATTCAACTCATGGCAGATTTGGTTTTCTTTTATACAAAGGCGTCCATCATTAATTTGTTATTATAAAAACATAATTTCGGTAAATTTGTCAGATCATTCTTCTGGTTTTCATTGTATCTCATCGACATCCGGAGAAAAAATAAATATCACCTACCATGGGTAATGAGATCAGAATCAAATTTTGATGAGACAAAAATGATTGTAGGCCAACGTCAAAAATTTTACATAAAAAATGCATTCGGCCTTCTACAAATTTTCCATTCAGTCACTTTTAATACACTTTCCACTTTGTATACAAATGGAAAATCTTCGAGAAACACGGCAAATTCAAAAATCTCACATTCAGTGGTTAGTTGCTTCATTGGTCATTGATTGGTAGAATTAGTTACAATAAAGTGCCTAAAGATTTTGGTAAAGAAGAGTAGAGCTAAGATGATTGGAGAAAGAAAAAAAAACAATCGGACATTCGGACATTGATTAGAGCACTGATATATCTTTTGAACAATAAAGTACAGTTTCAACAAAAAAAGACTGAAAATGATGATTTCTGTCACATGATAATTAAATTTTTAAACATGACGTGATAAAACAATCGGTTTTCTGATTATTGTTCGGTTGAGCGAAAGTAATTATTCTAATACAAAAATCGATAACTAATGACAGATAAAATAGGTTTAAACTCTCTACTATATGACATATGCCACTCATGCGCACGCAATGAGTATGTGAGACATCAGGAAATTACGTTTTTTTTTAATGAAGAATCATCAACTCGTAAATTCTAAAACCTGAGTCATCATGACCACCAAAATATTCCTCATCACACCCATATTCGTAAAAAAAAAATGCTATGATTTTTTTTCATTTCCATACTTCACTAAGTTAATTATTTAATTGAAACTAATGACTCCTAAATTGTAATTATTGTCTTAAAAATTCCACCAAAATACCACCTAAATATTTATTAAGGAAAAAGTCGAAAAAACCAATAATAATATGAGTATGAAATCACTTCGTCCTAACTTAAGTCTACTACCCATGCGCAAGTCTCCTTTCTATATAGTGTACGCAAAAAAAAGTACGTTTTTAATTTTTATTAATAAAGCCGTAACTTCTAAATTAGGAAACCTTGATTATAATGACCACCAAATTATTCTCCATCGGTTGTAATTATTTTTGAATTACTCATCATAACTTCTGCTCATTATTATTGTAAAAAAAGAAAAATCTATTAAACCAAAACTAATGGCTACTAAATTCTAATTATGTTCTCCTAAATTCCACCAAATTAGCGCCTAAATATTTACGAAGAAAAAGGTATGAAAAGTTAATTAATAAATTACATTTCTTCCCAGTGCACAGCAGAGATTATAGGGGAGATTGCCAGCGCCTGTACAAAACCTTCAACAGGGTCAGAGACCGTACCTGTAAGTAAAGCAGGTCGAGAGCCCGTGAGTGTCGATAATTCTCAGAGCCCGTGCGTGTCGATAATGTTCAGAGCCCGTAAGTATGGATAAGACAGAGCGCGAGCCCCAGAGTGTAGATAATTCGGCACAACGTGAAACCGAGAGCAGAGATTATAGGGGAGATCGCTAACGCCAATGGCGAAGCTTCAACCGCGAAGTTTCCTAGCGGAACTGGCGGAACTAATTTTGCGGGTGTACCTGTGAATCAAACAGGTCGCGAGGGCAAGAGTGTCGGTAATTTTCGGAGGGCCAGGGTATAGATAAAGTAGAGCGCGAGCCCGAGAGTGTCGATAATTCGAAAAGACCAGCAAACGCGAGTGTCGATAATTCGAGGAAATCGTGACGAAAGATAACATCCCATATAGAGCGGAGTGGGGGTATGATGGAGAAACAATCGATGGACGGAATGAAAAAAATGAATTCACTTTTGTAAATTCGAAAAATTGTTCAACAAATTGGGGAAAAATTGTCTCGCCAATATATAGTCAAACGATTGGGAATCGCTTGAAACGTCGAGATTTATGGGTCCCTCGGAACTTTTTTTTATCAACGGCTCTATTTTTGTTAACAAATTCAAAAATGATTAAACAAATTCGGTAAAAATTGTCTCGCAAATGTATACTCAAACGATTGAGAATCATCTGAAACGTGGAGATTTATGGGTACCTCGGAACTTTTTTTTTCAACGGCTCTATTTTTGTTGACAAATTCGAAAATGATTAAACAAATGCGGGAAAAATTGTTTCGCATATGTATACTCAAACGATTGAGAACCGACTGAAATGTGGAGATTTATTAGTCCCTCGGAACTTTTTTTTCAACGATATCTTTTTCGTTCACAAATTCAAAACTGATTCAACAAATTCGGAAAAATAGAGCCGTTGAAAAAAAAAGCTTCCGAGGGACCAGTTAATTTCGGCGTTTCAGCTGATTCTCAATCGTTTGAGTATACATTTTCGAGACAATTTTTCATCAATTTTTTAAACAAATGGCGTATTTATGAACGTTAACTCGCTTTTTCATTCCGTCCATCGGTTGTGTCTACATCATAGCCCCACTCTCCGGTACATCGGATGTTTTCGTTCGTTTTCGGACGTCATCGTTATTTCGATAAGTGCCCTACCTTAGTGACACTCACGACCGCCTCAAATTATCGACACTCACGGGCTCTGAACATTATCGACACGCACTGGCTCTGAGATTTATCGACACTCACGGGCTCTCGACCTGTTTTACTTACAGGTACGCGCTCTCCATCTGCTTCACTTACAGGTACGAGCTCTGACCCTGTTGAAGGTTTTGTACAGGCGCTGGCAATCTCCCCAATATTCTCTGCCATAACCGCCGCTACGAGTTGTTTCGGTTGAAACCGTTGTCATTGGCGTTAGATATCTCACCATAATCTTTGCTACACCTAGCCTCATACATGCTCGCTTAACCTCCCGATTACATCGTCCAACGCCAGTAAGTGCAGTAACCATTTTTTCAATTCATCTGGGCTATTGTATCACATGACAGTGTCACGAGTGTGGGTGGTGACTTTTTATTCGTTACAAATTGACATTCAATCACCTATTTTCCATCTTTTCTGAATTCATTAGGGTTCTTTTAATAGTCACATTTGATTAGTTGAGACTGGCCCAGATTACGAAAAGGAATTATAATAATCTAGAATTGATTATTTCCAGTAAAGATGAGATACATACTCGGAGCTTCGTTTCTGGGTACTACCACTGCAACGATAACGATATTAAGTAATGATATGATATTGATTATATTTGATTAATTACATGGTGGGTTTTGATGAAAATGTGATACCTAATTTGTATGTTTTAGGTTTGTACCACGTATTTACGGGAAAGGGCGAAAAAGTTAGCATTGCTTGGTGAGAAAAGTATCATAAATTGATTTTTCATAGGCTTTTTTGAAAGAAGTTTTAACGATTTTTTTATGCTGTTTTCAGGTTTCTGGGTGAAACAAGTCCCTATATGTGGACTACCTTGGGGATTGGACTAGCTGTGTCACTTTCCGTTGTTGGAGCTGCTTTGTAAGTTAATATACATTTTTCAATTTCACCAAAGTCTTAAGGGAAGAATGTTATACTTATACGTAAATTATTAACCTACTCTCTGAACTTTTTGCAAGCTGTGATTTTTAACAAGGGTAATATACATTTAGAAACCAAGAATAAGGAAGGGTGTCTTTCATTACTTTTAGTATTTAAAAAAATGGTTCAAATGTGCTGGGTGTATGGGCTGGATTATTGGTAGTTTTATTTTCAATGTGAAGGTTTGCCTGCATCAAGCAGAAATGTATAAAATGAAATTTATGTGCATCAAAAAAAAAGTCAAAGGAGAAAATACTAAAAATACTAACAATATAGGTGTGACTTTTCAGCGCGTTAGCAACCTAGCAAGTAATTGACTCTCCTCAGTTTGATGTTCATCGAAAAATTTAATGTCAAACATTTTTTCTATAATTGTTATCTCTTTGCTACTTTGAACCAGATATTTCTTAAAGTCTCGATAACTGGCATAACTTTTTCAAGTATGACATATTGTACTAAATGGAAATCATGTACAATTACTTGATGAAAATTCAATGAAATAAAATTCATCAGACCCCTTTTTTAATATTTGTCAATGTCCTTCAACGTGATGAATAGACATTCACAAATTCACTTAAATCGATCAAATTCCCACCAAACAATGACAATTTGGAGAAAAAAACCGGAAAATTCAACGTTTGCCTGACACCCTCATAAATACCTTAATACTGACCGAAAGCGAATAGTTCGTAAATCCACGTGAAAGGCATTGGACGTCTTTTGATCCGAATAAGATATTATTATCAATGTAAACAGAAACCCTAGAGACCTCATCGTTTTTAAAGGAAAAAAAAAGAAAATTATACGTATTATTACTTACAACATTTGTCTCAATAGGTGGAATGAATAATTAGGGTGCTAATTTGAAGATCTCGCTCAGGTCTGCAAACTGACATATGGTATATCCCCACTGGCAGTGTTAAGTCTCAATAACTGACAAAAACTATATAATTTTTGTAGTATAAAATAACGTAAAACATAGAAATAACGTGCAACAATTCGATAGAAATTCAATTTCTTATACACTATTCATCGAGATACGCGGTAGCGTATTGGCCAAGTAAAAGTTTCGTCTCTATCCAACAAATAAGGCCGAGAGCTACAGTGTATCTATACACGACACAACT